CCTGCCCTGCATTGGCACCCGCCTTGACCTGGGCGCTCGCTGGAGCCCGCCTTTGACTCCCACCGCCTCCGCCCTTCCTGCTGGTGGGCAGGGGTCGGGGGGAGGCCCAGCAGAAGTCTTCTCTCTGAGGGTTCGAGGACAGAACAGTGGCTGCAAAGCATGCAGAGGCAGCTACCCCAACGAGCTCACCACGGCCGAGCACGTGGCTCAGCCACATTGGAACTCAGGCCTGGGAATATTGAATGTGGAGCCAGGTGGCTACAATGCTTGTTTTGCTGACTTTAAAAAAGAAAAAAAAAAAAAACTTGGCCCCTCAGTGGGCAGCATCAGCAGCACCGAAATTAACACAAGATGTCCCCAGGTAAACAAATGCATGTTTTTCCCCTTCTCTCTTCACTCCAGCCATGGCCACAGCAAAAGGGTCACTGAGCCACCCCTGCAGGTCCCCACTCGGGCCTGCAGGCTAGTCAACAACAACACAGGGTAGTACCAGCCTCCCAGCGTCGGCGGGAGCGCATTCTGTGCTGGGCAGCGTGCTAAGCGCGTTACTTGGATCGTTTCACAGAATCCTCCTAACGAACTGCCTCTCCGACGGCCCCTCCTGTTACATCTCCCGTTTCCTCAGACTGAAGTCCTGAGAGCCCAGATGATGTGAGCAAGGCAGACGCAATCACCGTGAGCCCTGCAAGAGAAACGGCATTGCTTTCCTTATTCATGCTTCTGCCTTTTGGCACTGGCTTGTGGTTCTCTCCTCCCTTTCATGGGAGTCGCTGTCCCCCTTTGTGGGCGGAGACCCGCAGAAGACAAGACCCGAAGCGGGTCCCAGCATCGCAGTGGAGTGAGCAGAAGGCAGCAAAGACCTCCATAGTGCGATGCAAAGTCGGTGGCAAAAATAACTGAGAAAAGCACTGTGGTCCCAGGAAGGGGTGTTGAGAAGGGGCTAAGGGGATCGGCAAGGACTTGTGCATGCGAAGAAAGTGCTGGAAGGGCCTGGGGGGGGGAGGGGCATCCCAGCTCCAGGCCCTGCTCCTACCACCTCCTGTGTGGCGACTGATATGGTCCGTTCTGGCCAGTAGGAGGTTATCTTTATTAACTGCCCCAAAGTCCTTTCTCGCTAGGCAGACTCTCCGACCTGTGAACCAGAAGTCCCTCACGTCGGCCCCTCGGCTGCCTGCATGGGGTGAGGCACAGTTGGGGTGATGCCTTTTGAATTAAAAAAAAATTATTCATTTGAGAGTTAGCAAACTAGAGAGAAACATTGATTTGTTATTCCACTTACATGCATTCGTTAGTCGATTCTTGTATGTGCCCTGACCAGGGATTGAACCTGAAACTTTGGCATATCCAGACAACACTCTAACCAACTGAGCTACCCGGCCAGGCAGGGTGACACGTTTTGAGTTGCTGACACCCCTGCCTGCCTCTGGGAATGACGCCCCACCCCTCCCCCAACACACTCGCAAGTATGGCATTTTTATCTTTTTCTCTTGTGTGGCCTCCCCGTGCTGCTCTGCACAGGGCCCTCCAGGAATCACCACCTCAAGTTACAGATGAGGAAACCAAGGCCCTGCAGTTAGGGACAGCTGCCCAGGTATGGGGGGGTCCAGGAGTCCATTTTGGCCTGACCTGCTGCTAGGAATCCTGGGCTGAAAGGAGAGGGCAGGTCTCCTAGGCAGTAACCTGGCAACAGGTGATCCCTGGGCAGCTCCCTGCCCCCTGGAGCCTCAGTCTCCGCATCTGTCAAGGAGGGACAAGAGTCACTTTACAGTCAGTGTACAGACCCCAGCTGAGAGCCTGCTGTGTGTGGGTGCTGCGCCGAGCATACCAAACCCGCCCCTCCCCCATGCAGCCACAGTCTGATTGGGGAGGCCGGCAGCTAACAAACGGGACAACATCCATCAGGTTCCGCGGTGTCTGCCTGTGCCAGCGCTGAGCAGCTCCAGGGTCTCCCCCAGTCCAGGGAGCCTGGCCAGGGGGCAGTGTTATCTCGGGGTCCCGGCCTGAGGGGCTGACATGCCTGCTGCCCCAGGAGCAGGGACCGAGGGCCTCTCCGGAGCCGGGGCAGGCCCTGGCTTGACACAGCTTCCGCAGGACTGATTTATCGGCAGCCACTCGGCAGCCTGGGGGAGCTGCGGTCCCAGGGCGTGTTGGGTCCCCCCAGCTGGAATGAATCCGGAGGGAGGATGAGTTTGGTCATGCTTGGGTTGTCAAGAACGGAAGAATGATATTCTCTCTTAAAAACATTCCCCGTGGATACCAAACCCCCTTGCTCGTTGCAGGCAGAGGCTGGGGAATCCTGCAATAGTGCTCTGTGATGTCAGGCAAGCCCCTCGCCCTCTCTGGGCCTGAGGGGCCCCTTCTGCACTGGGGAGAAGGGTCACCCCGCTGCTGAACTTGTTGGAGGATGGAATTAGGTGGTACATGGAAGTGTTCAGCCATGTGCTGATTAAATCCACCCTAAGTAAGAAGAGCAGTTGTCTTGGGTGTAGGTGCACCAGGTGCTTCTGAGTAGTTGGTAACTTGGGAACAAAGTATCTTTAGGGAATGTGGCCATTTCAGCCAGTCTGGAACCATCATTCAGCAATAACAGGTCCCAGAAGAGTCCCTGAGCCTCGCCATAGCCTAGGAGATGCTGAGGCCCCTTCACCCTCCTTGTGCTGCAGCCATAGAGCAAAGGAACAAAGTGACAGCAGCTCAGGCCTGAGTCTGGTCTTTCTTCAGCTGTGCAAACGTTAGCAAGAGGCCTCGGGTTCCTGCCTGTAAAATGGGCACACGCCTTGCTGGAGATAATGTGCGTAAAGCGAAGTAGGGAACCCCTGTCAGAATTGCCGTCTCTGGCAGATGCTACCCCTCCTGCCAATCCCGATCTTGCAATGCCTAGAACAAAATTCCTTTCGTGGGTACTAAGCGATGGGGTGTCGCTGGGAGCAGGGCAAGTGTGGGCGCTAGAGCAGAGGCGGGAAGCCTGTGCGTCAGCATTGCCAGAACTCAAGGCTCGCCGTGTGCTGCGGGACCCTGAACCTGGTGCCGCTGGCTTCTGGGTTACTTCTCCCCAGGATGCCGAGGTGAGGCGTTAGCAGCATCCCAGTCCCACCTCTGCTAACCAGCGTTGGAACCTCAGGCTCACAGCCTCAGCTTCTTCCATGCAATGGGGCTAAGACTCTAATTTCACAGACAGGAGTGTGTCCGTCTGGCCCTACCCAAGAAGGGGAATGAGGTTTGGGGGCCTCTAGATGGCTGCAAGGACCTGTCACCTTCTGACCTCCCCAGATACTAACGATAGTACCGGTAGCCCTGTCTGGGGAGTCTCTCTGTGGACTGGACCGTGACAAGGCCCCGAGGGAGACGACATCACTCCCGACTTTAGCAATGAGGACCTGAGGCCCAGAGAGGGAAAGCGGCAGACACCTAGCCACGCAGTGGTGGGGCTGGGATTCAAGCCCCAGTCTGCGTGTCTCCAAAATGACTGTGTTATGTCACTGTCTCCTGACCTTCTCAGGAGGAGGATGGAGACAGTGTCTGCCTTGTTTCCTGCTGGATCCCCAGGGCTAGCACCACGCCTGGCACATGGAAGGGACTCCATAAAGGCTTGTTAATTGAACGAATGAGGGAAGGAGCAAAGGTGAGAACCTTCCTCCCCAGCCCAGCTCCTCCCAGCATCCCAAAGCTGAGTGTCTCTGGGGCTCCAGGGTGGAGGCCCCAAACCCAGTTAGTCACAGCCTGGCCTTGGCTGCCTGGGCCCGTCCCCCTGGGAGGATTTCCTCCACTCCCGAGGGAGGCCTCGCTGTTAATCCCGGAGGGTAAGGTGGGTGAGCTACTCCTGCCTGGCGCGGGGCCCTGCCTGGGTCTGCACAGCGTGCCGAGGAGGGCGGGCCGGTTGTGGAGTTCAGTATTTGGGTGTGCTCTTTCGGCCCAAGCTGGGCCCGCCGCCCCCACCTCCCATTCCAGCTTTTCTCACATCTGCTGAATCAGAAATTCCCCATCGGCCTGTCTTCGTAACCCAGCTGTGCCCCTTCCTGGCTGTGTGACCTTGGGCCAGTCACCTCTTCTTTCTCAGAGTCAGGCTCTGTACAAGGGCTATAATGAGAATATTCATCGACATACAGTAGGTCTCAGGACAGAACCACTGGTCACCAGGCAGCAGTAAGTTAGTGGTCCTCCAAATGACTGCTCCATTCCTTCCCTGCCTCTGAACTCCCAGTTCTTGCTGTCTTCAAGTCTAATTCATACTAAGGTGTGAATGGTTGTCAAGTGACCTTCCCCCTCAAGTGTGTCTAACCCAGACATCACTATGATCTGTGTGTTTCTGGTGCTGTGTGACTGAGTAAGAAGGAAACTGAGGGCATTTTGCTAAGGGTGCAGGGGAGGAATAGATTCCCTCACTCTCATCACCCAAAGTCCCTACATGCAGCAGCTGGGGATGGGCAAAAGGCATTGGTCTGGTTGAGGGAATCCAGACTTTTAGTCTTTACTGCTCTAAGCAGTTTGGCACCTTATTTAAAGAAGTTTCCAGCACATAGTAGACCCTTCGCAAATGTCTTTCTGGAAGATGACAAATCGGCTGTGCTCTGGACCTGGACAGTCTTCCCTGCCTCCCTTTCATTGCATCTGATGAACTCTTATGCATCCTTCAATGTCCAGTTTAGATACCCCTCCTTCAGGAAGCCTTCTCAACTTTGTTCAGGTCCAGTTAACCTTTTGGGGATTTGAGTTCATATGAGATGAGCAAACCCCGAGATTATTCTGCCCAACACTCCTTTTTCCCAAGGGTATAAAATCGTGACCCCGTAGGAGGCCTTCCTTTGGCTGAGGTCTCACAGCCAAATAAGAGGCAACAGCCGGAGATCTAACTGAACATCTCCGGACCCCTTCAGAATGCCGCACGGAAAGAGGGCACAGACCCTGCCTCTCTTCTCACGCCTCTCCCACCCTGCCCACATTGGGGCCTCCTGCAGAGCTGAGCACACAGCTAACCTCCTCTCTTCCTTCTTTCTCCGCAGCCCATGACCTCCCCGCGAACAAGGCCTCAGCAGCCCAGCCCGGCAGCCACTTGCAGTGCCTGTCTGTTCACTGCACAGACGACGTGGGCGATGCCAAGGCCCGAGCCTCCGTGCCCACCTGGCGGTCCCTGCACTCTGATATTTCCAACAGATTTGGGACATTTGTGGCCGCCCTAACTTGAAATGACAAGAACACCCCCTCCCCCACCAGGCCCTTCCCTCCCCCCTCTCTCTCCCTTCTCCCCTTACCCTGCTCCCTCCCCACCCTGATAATTTGAAAGGGCCACTATTGCTGAGTGGATGAATTATTTTCTAGGTTGGTACCTGCTTAGTGGCATATGGACTGGAAGGGGTTAATTTAAAGGGGAAAAAAAAACCTCAAAAAAAATTTTTTTTAAAAGAGAAACTCTGTCTGCCACAGTATGTTACCAGTGTTAACCCTTCAGCAGTTAGCAAACTTTTGCTTAAGCCTTTTCCCTGCTAGATAAGTCCCATTTTTCTGTCATCTTGGCATACGTTTTTTAGATGACCTCTTTCTTTGTTTTATTCCCATGCTGCTGTATGTCCAAGTATTGTTATTTCATAATGAGACAAGAGTTGCTTTCCTTTTTTATTCTCTTTTATTCTTGTTCCACCCCCACCCCCCGCACCCTCCCCCCCTTTTTTTTTCCTTTTTGCTTTGTTCACTGCTTATTAAAATGGAAATCCTGGAGAAGAGTAGTTCTGGAATATTGCCGGGTGAAAGTCCAATTGTCATCACAATATTATATATTGACATCCAACTGTCATCGGTCAGGCAGGAGCCAAACAATGAACGCCCCCCTTAGGTATTCTGCCTGGGATTTTGTTTTGTCTGTTCCCTAAGAAAATAGAGAGATTTTCTTTCCTGCACACACACGTTCAGCCTTTCGCTCCGCGCTCTCCCCTGTGGCGGGCTGCCCCTCTGCAAGGGGGCGATGGCGCGGCCAGCCCGCTCTGTGGGGAAGAGGCAGAGTGTTTGACAGCGGTGTTTTCGCTCCTGCTCTGGGCCTCTCCACCAACGTCCAGGCTCTGAGTTTGCACGCTATGCTACGCTGAGCAGTCCTGGTCTGCTTGGGGGATGGAGGCCTTCCAGCTTGCAGAGTCTCTGGGGGTTGGGGGCTCCAGGCTTCAACTCTGCTGCAACCAGACCCCTGGGTCTTGGGTGCTAGAGTTGGGGATAGATCAATTCTTAGCCCTTGACCTTTCCTGACAGCTGTTCCCAGCCGGGTGTCCCTGGGGAAGGATGGGAGAGCCTGGGTGTACCTCCCCCGCCTCTCCCCGTCGGTCCCCACGCACATCTATTTTACCAACTCCAACCTGGGCAGCTCCCTCATCCCTGGAAGGGATGAGGGAGCCGCACGCTCAGCTTGCCGAGCCCCCCCTCCAAGCCTGGGGAGACGTCTTTGCCAGGTTTTGCAGACTGCTGAGGGCCAGAGCGGGGAGAAAGGGAATATAACTCATGACTTTGATACCTGGGCCTTGTTTTGTGAACCCTGGAATTTTCCCCCCTTTTGATGTAATCTCACACTATTGCAAAGTTAGAGCCACAGTCCGTGTGTTCTCGTGAAGAAATAGCTTCTCCTTTGAGAAGTGAGGAAGGGGCAGCTGGGCCGGCAGGGCTCCTGGACACAAGCGAGGCCTATCCCCTGGTCCTCCCAGAGCCATGGTCCCCAGAGGCCCAGGGCTGACAGGAGCGGGCACCTTTGGGTGCTGTCGATGCCTGCAAAGGGCTCGAATGACTTATGGGGGAATGAGGGGCACTGAGATTCCAGGGCGGGTCAGGCAGGAAGGAACTGACACCACTTCACCCAAATCCACGACCCATATTTTGTTTGTTTTTGTTAACGGCCGTGTCTTACTACACAATAAATTCCCCATTTTGAGGCTCACCCTACCCCTTCCCCCCAGGTCCCCAGAGTGTGCAGACCTGGCTTTTTTTAGCAAGTGACCTGCAGACTTTGGGCTCACCATACAACACCCACATTGTTTATTTCAAAGAACTTTTCAGCCAAGGGAGAAGAGCGTCCAGAAAAATCTTGCTCTTTCCACGGCCCCCTCCTTCTTCCCTTCTGCTGGCTTTTTTGGCTTGGGTTGGAGTCTGGACAGTCTGAGGTTCTTGCATGGACAGTCTGACCGGGGACTGACCCGCAGGCCGCAGAGGGCAGGTCGAAGCTGGCGGCGTGAATTTATCAGAAGAAGGTGTGAGCTGATTTGGTTTCTGAGTTCTGCCACCAAAGGAGAGAAAAGGGGAGAGATGTCCCCCGCCCCTGTCACCGGCTGCAGGGGAATCAGCCAGTCTGAGCAAAACTCCACGCCCCCTCTGACTCCGAAATGTACAGCTGTTTGAGAGCTTCATCATTTTATTTTTTTAAAACAGGACTGATTTCTCCTTAATTGCTTAAGGCTGGGGGAGCCAAGCGTCTTGACTGGTGTCTTTCACTTTCCCCGCGTTGAGCCCATCAGCACTTGGCCATCAGCTCATGGTCTTCGCAACCTTGGAAACCCCTGAAGTTTAAAACGTTCTCGCTCCCCACGACCCCAGAATGGAACAGCTTTAAAAATAGCCTTAAGCAAAAGGATGTTATTTCATTAAATTTGGTTTAATAGAAAGAATAAAAGCAAATTAAAAACACACCCAGCCCATGAGACTCCAAACACTGGTAATTGGTACTGCATAGCAAACTCTTCGGGAAAGAAAATGAAAACGTTATTGCACATGTAAAATATGAAAACTTAACTCTGCTGTGTGTTAGGCAATCCTGTAATCTTTTTTGACTCTTAAAAGAAATTCATTTCTGAAATGCTTGGTTGGAAGACTGTGACAATAGCTCATGAAATTGAGTGTTATTTTTTCTTTCTTTTTTAAAAAAATATGTAAAGTGCAGTCTTCTGTATTCATGCATATTGTATATACCTGTATATGTTTTCCTGAGCAGCTAAATAACAATAAATATGATGTTAATGGTGACTGTGGTACATTTGTGGGCGGGGCTTGCTTAAGTTTTTCCCACCCCTCCCCTTGTCCTGTAGGTCTCTTCACAGTCCTCGGGGGTGGGGGTATAAGTCTGGATGCTGTGGTGAGCGTACGCGTGGGTGATTTGATGCAAGTCTAAGCTGGGTCATCTCAGAATTTCTCCACTCAGCACTATTGACATTTGGCTGGATAATTCTTTGTGGTGGGGACTGTCCCGTGCACTGCAGGATGTTGAGCAACATCTCTGGCCTGAAGATACCAGGGGCACCTCTTTCCCTCTTGTGACAACCAAAACATTGCACAGTGTCCCCTGGGAGGCATTTGAGAACAACTGGTATCTGATGAATGCAGGAGGGAAGGAGTAAAGAGAGACCCAGGTGGCCGTGCTGTGTGACAGTTATTTTGGGGGTTTAAGAGTTCAGTTTCAGAAATCAGGAAGCTTTGTGTCCTCCTGCAAGTCAGGCAGCTTCTCAGGACCTCCTTTCCCTCATCTGGGAAATGGGTCTAATGTGCAGAGTTGCTATAGAAGACAATGCAGTAAGTGTGGACGCAGCACGGAGGAGGGTTCCACATGCGCAAATTGTTGGCGGCACTCCTTGGTCAACGTAGCGCTGCTGGTCGCGTTTTGGAACCTGCTTATCCTGGGCTGGCGGCTGCTTCCTCCTCTTATATGGGCCATGGACACGTGGTTTTAATTCGATCTCCATTTTCTTGCCTCTAAAATGGAGCAAATAACATCTAGCTTGAAGGGCACTCTGAGCACCAGCCCTGCTTCAGGCCTTGTAAAAGCTCTGGCTGTCCCACAGGCCACCCTGTGGGAAGTAGCTTCACTCTGGCACCTGCAGCCTTCGGCCTGAGGCCATTGCAGAACCACAGTCTACAAAAGGAGAGGATGGAGAGAAGAGATAGACAAGTTAAAAGCGAGGGGGCACGTGAGGGGGATGTGCCCAAAAACTCATAGTACACCAGATGGAAGATGCTCTGAGGGAGTCATGAACCCCATATAGGAGGCTGGGGGAAGGCTTCCTCCAGCAGGTCATGTCCAAGTGGGGTTTTGAAGGATGAATAGGAGTTCATTCATTCCAGTATATAAATTGACCCCAATTTGGCAGAAATATTTTTTCCCTTCAGCTTTTAAAGTTTTTTTTTAAATATGTGCAATGACGTATTTGTCAGAATATAAAGTTTTAAGGACAAGGCCTCTAATTTGGAGGAGCTTAAAAATGTCTTTAACCTTTAAAGGTCTCCTGCTCAAAGTGACAGTGGTATATGATCATGTTCAGTACCCAAGGAAGGGAAGAAAAGTGAAAGAATGATGAGCCGTGAGTATGGGCATCTGGGAGACTTGAGGTTGGTGTGAAATGAATGGATGAGTGAGTGAATGAATTCCTGTCTCAGGGGGCCAAGAACTAAAGGGTCATGTGACATGGGGCTGCGGCGTCGGGATGGATGTTGGTACTGGGGAGGGAAGGCCAGGGCAGTGCTCCAGCAGCAGGCTGCTGCGTCTCGCAGGTTGGCCTTTTCATGCTGACAGAGAAATCCCATCTTAGCCCAGCATCCCATCTCAGAATGGCTGCCTCCTTCCCAGGGGGGCGGGGCTCAGGGGCTGTCTTCACCATGAGGGGGGATGGAGGAGGAGCCAGGGCAACCCTCAGCCCTACGAGAGCTAGGGGCAGGTGCAGGAGGGAGACCCCATCCTGCTTTCTTTGAACAAAGATTAGACATATTCACAAGACCAGAGTGAAGCGTGAGTTTCCCTAACCGCCAAGGGCATCAGCAGGAAGGACCCCACCAGGGGCACCCTGGTTGGGTGTGAGACGCAGAGCGTGTGGGAGGTGCCAGACCTTTGCCCCAAGACTGGCTGACCTGGGCAGGGAGCGATTGGGGGCGAGCGCCCAATCCTGCAGTTTTAACAGTGCAATAGGTGGCTTGAAGGCCCTCATTCTGCAGTTAACGCTCTGAGGAGTTGCCCCAGGAGCCTTGGGAATTTTTTTATTGATATAAAATTTACATAATACAGAATTCTCTATTTGAATGATTTTTAGCGTGTATAATTCAGTGGTTTTTAGTCTATTCACAATGTTGTGCAAACATGATTCCTATCCAATTCTAGAACATTCTTATCCAAAAAAGAAAGCCTGTACTCATTTTCAGTTAATCCCGATTATCCCCGTCTTCCAGCCCCTGGTGACCACTAATTGACTTTCTGTGGCTTTGCCTATTCTGGACATTTCATGTAAATGGAATCATGCAATACATGGCCTCTCATGTCAGACCACTTTTACTTAACATAATGCTTTCAGTTCATTCCTTTCTATGGCTGAATATGATTTCATTGTTTGAATATACCACGTTGTGTTTATCCACTTCCCAGCTGAGGGAAATTAGGGTTGTTTTCCCTTCTTGACTATTACACACGATCCACGAACATTTGCGTACAAGCGTTTGCGTGAACACACATTCGCAATTCTCTTGTGTACGTACCTGGTAGCGGAATTACTTGGTCCTGTGGTTGCTCTGTGTTTAACTTCTTGAGGATCCGCCAACCTCTTTCCACAGCAGCTGCACCATCGTACATCTTGGATGGAGTTTTATGGTTTATTTAATCCAGTATGCCCCACCCCTTTTTCCTATGTTAAAAATTGAGGTATGATTTTTATGCAACGAAATGCACAGCCCTTAAGAGTCTTACTTGGTGCATTTTCACCAATGTCTACACGTGTGCAACACAAATCTCTATCAAATAGCATCACACAATAAGACAGGCTCCCAGAAAGAACTCTTCAGTCCCTTTCCAGTTAACAACCCACCCCTAAGGCAACAACTGATTGTATTCCTATCACCATTGACTAGTTTTACCTTTGTTCTTACATCTTGGCTGTCATAAAAATGGAGTCACACAGCCTATCCATGGTCTGGGGTTTCTGGTTCGATTTCTGGCTCGCTGGGATGGGGAGCGGATTGTGAATAACGGTGCTGCCTGCCATCGTTGAGCGCATGCCCAGGGACTTCCCCCCATGTTCTGGAATTTGAACTCAGGCCTGGCTGACTCTCCATGCAAAACTGCCTGCTGCTGTGCAGCCGCCGGGGTGGGGCACAGGGTGGGGTATGCACAGGTGGTGTGAAGGAACACGTGCCGAATTCCCCACTAACTGGCCTAGGGTCCCCTCCGTGGGCCTTAGTTTCCCCATCTGTAAAATGGGCTTAAAACCAGCACCTGCCTCAGTTACCTCCCAAAGCTAGGCTTCCCTGAGAGAAATATGAAAAGGGGGAATGTTGGAAATGATGAGGTGCAGTGGGGACTTGGGGGACACCCTTGCCTGTTATCAGAACTAGTGCAGCCGGGGTTACTGATCACCTAGTGGACACCAAGTGCTGGCTAGATGCTTACTCTGCACATTTGATGCTCAGGAAGATGTGGGAGGCGGGGCCTCCGAACATTCCCAGTTTAGAGTCGTGCAGTCTGTGGGCCAAGGTCGCCCAGGAGAGTGGATGACAGGAAGCACGTTTGGGGAGCTCAGAGCGTGTGGGCTGGCAGCGGGTCGTCTTCTTTTATTTGTACCTATTGTAGGGATTTGAGCAAACAGGTAACCTCGCAGCTCCCAGAAGGACCCTGTGGCCACTTTCTTTCTAGGGAAAGTGGGGACCCAGGAGGAATTGGACCCTGGATCTGGCAGTGTCCCCTTGGTTGTCCGGGTGGGGGTGTCAGCTTCATTCTAGGATAAGGGAGGCGCTAGGGAGGAGATAGGGGTTGGGTGGCTGACGGTCCATCAGCTCTAAATCTTGCTCATTGGCTAGGTGGCTGCTCTCTGAGCTTCAGTTTCCTCAACACAGAGCAGCCACAGGACCAGGTAATTCCGCTACCAGGTACGTACACAAGAGAATTGCGAATGTGTGTTCACGCAAACGCTTGTACGCAAATGTTCGTGGATCGTGTGTAATAGTCAAGAAGGGAAAACAACCCTAATTTCCCTCAGCTGGGAAGTGGATAAACACAATGTGGTATATTCAATGGGGCCAATTTTATCACCCGCCACATAGAGATGTAAGGATTCAATGCAGTAAGAGAGCTTTGCACAGGGGCTTCTCTGAGCAAATATTCAGCACATGTCAGCTGCTGTAGTGGTAAAATGAACCATTCTGCGCCTCAGTTTCTCCCTGTGCAAATAGAAGTAAAATAATTAATAATGGGCAACCCTTGTGTGGTGCTTGCTATGCGCAGGGGTCTTACGCTGATGAGTTATAGTAACGGCAAGGATGTAGGCTCTGTTTCAAGCCCCATTTTCCAGAGAGGGAAACTGAGACACAGAGAGGTGAAGCCACTGGACCAAGGTCACCTCCTGAGACCATGAAGATTCAGTCATGCTAAGCACAAGGCCAGGTCGGGCCCGCTCCCTGTGGGTGATACAGAGGAGGCTCATTGGAGACCCGCGACCTCCCTGAGGCTGCACAATCTGCCAGTGGCAGAGCTCAAGACCAGCTTAGGTTTTTGGATTTCAAGGGGCCAGGTCTTTTTTGCTGTCCCTGCTCTGTTCTGGGCCCTGCATCCAGCAATCGCTGCCTAAGAACCCTGTCCCCTGCCCAGGGCACAACCGGACATGCCTTCTCCCACCCTTTTTTGCGTTTCTGGTGACAAAGGAGGTAGGGAGGAGAGGCTGCTGGAGGAGAGGGTGCGGGGGGAACGGGTTTTTGATGTTCCTGCCTCCCTCCCCTTCCAGCACAGGTATGGGCTGGGGGCTGAGGCAGCAGGTGCCCCTAGCAGCCTCCGATGGGAGGGGACGTGATGGGAGGTGGGAACTCCTGTTTCTCCAGCCCCTCCCCCTGGGGCTGGAGTCCTGCTTGTCTGGCTGGTGGTATGAAGGCTGGGGAGACCGCAGGGACCGCCTGGATCAATGCCACTGTGAGCTGTGGCTGCGGCCTTTGTCCTCTCCATTACAGCCCCTCCCCATGGGTTGGAGGAGCCTGACCCCACGGGAATCTCACCCGCAAG